ATGAACAATAACCCAAAATAGTTAATTTCCAAATTAGAATGGGTAACTAAATAATTATGATATAGTCATTTTTTCTTGTATGCTAGTGGTTCTACACAAGGAAAGATGAGGTATACTTTTCTAATAAAATATATGACAAAAAAAAAGGAGTGGAGGGAATAAGTTAGGAGACTAAAAATTTTGGAGGATAGATAGTGTGTTCTGTGAGGCTCATATTCAAGAATTCCTGACAATTAACAAGTAGGAAACTGGTATCAAAATCAGATACGGTGGGGTATGCATACTTGGTAGATTAATAAAGTGAAACAAGTTTGCTTTTAGGCCTATATTCTTTGTATTCAGACTTCAGTTGGAAGCTGTAATTGAGATAAAGTCGAGGAAGTGGTAGTAGTTAGAGCTGATGGTATTCCTTTTCTTCTGACAGTCAAAGAAAGCTTTCCTATCTCTTTGCATATCCGCTGAAGAGACACCTTTATAGGCCTATGGCAAAACAACCTACAGTTACAATTTTTATCCCATATAAAAAGGAAACGAAGTTGCTCATCTTGAATAATTCTTCACACCAGTTGGGCTAAATAATAGGAACTGCTACACACTGGCACCACACACCACCTACATAGTTACCAAAACCCACAAACCTTATTGGAGGAAATCTTCCAAGGTTTTTTGTTTGGTGGCATTGTGACGGAATTAATGGAATGTGTGTGTTATGGTGTCTGCAGTATTGGCAGGACATGGAAGTGACAGATTTTACTTGTGTGCTTATTGCAAATGTATAGAACATGTAACTTCTAGTAATGCCACCTGTTGAATCCAAAATTTGCCATTTTACCAAGGCTTCAAAAAGTGAAATGGAATGGTTAATGAGTTGGTGTGAGCTTGGGTATAAACCTGTTGTACCTCTAAATTAGTACCAGAGAAAAGGGAGGGTGGTGAGAACATGATTTGAAGTTAGAATGTTTGGGTAGGTGATTTCCCATGATTCATAAGATAATTTCCTAACAGAGAAGTATGGCGAATAGAAGAAAATGGCAACACAGGATAAATTTATAAAGTTTTGCAGCTACCCTAAATATTGTTTGTGGATATGTTAAGCCATGTCTTAGCTTGTAAGCAGTAGATAGTCTTGATGCCTGATTGATGCTAGCACCACTTCATGATAATAGCTCAATTTCTTTCAGCAAGTGTATGTTGTGTACTGTTATTTTATATTCCTTGTTGTATTCTATTCTTTTCATCTCTTCAACCAATTTGTTTGCAAAAAATTATAATTTTATTTGACGGGGAGTAAAGTTGAAAGTTTAAAGCAATTTGGTTTCTCTTGCAAACATTTTTGGAGTTCAAGTTGATCAGTATCACTTTGCTCCAGGTATCAAACCAATTAAACCGCTTGTATTTGAAGTTTCTTAAGAGGAATCCTGGTTATGATGGAAAGGTATAAGCTCATTGTGCAATTGCTCCATTTCTTCATCAAACTATACTCTTGATTTCTACTGAACAGTCTCAATATTATGTGAAAATTCATCAAGGTTTCAATATATGGTCATTCATTGGGAAGTGTCCTCTCATATGACATCCTCTGCCATCAAGAGAATCTGACTTCTCCATTCCCAATGGATTGGATGTATAAAGAATACTCTAGGAGTGAAGAATCTTCCCTTGATATGAAGCATGGCACATCAACCAACCTGGAGGATAACATCTCCAATGTAGTCAAAGAAGCCAAGAAAATAGTGGATCCTGTTGAGGAAAAAATGATAAGTGCGCGATCAACTTTAGTACGTGAGAATGGACTTTCTGATGATTTTTCCACAATCTTGAGTCCCATTGCATCAGAGTTGGTTGGAGCTGCATCAGATTCACATTTTAAGCAAATACGTGGAAAAGAAAGTCCCCATGAATTTGTTTGTGACTCCAGTGATGTGCTTTCTCAGGAAAGAGATCACTTATGTGAAGCTATAGAGATGAAGTTAGATAACCCAATGAGTGTTGTGGAGAATGGGGCAGTGGAAGACAGTGAAGATGCAGGCAACAAGGAAAAAGAAATCAATATGCTGATGAAAGAGGTCTACATTTTAGGTTATTTATATTCTATAGAATTTATTCAGATTGGTTTTCAATATGTGACTCTTTATGCTCTCGATTGCAGATTGATTCCCTAAAAGCTAAAATAGCAGAGTTGGAATTCAAGTGTGGTGGTGGAGATGCCAGTGGTGGGTTGCATCAAATCACATAATTTACTTGCATATTAGGTGAAAGAACTCATGTTTTGGTATCTCTGGGTTTTATGTGTGAAACAGAAAATGGAAAGGCAACTGAAAGCATGACAAAGCAACCCATATCCAAGAAATTGGCAGTTGGACTAGATGAAGCATCAAAGAGTTATACCCCTTATATCAAGTATACAAAACTTGAATTCAAGGTTCATAAGTTCTTGTTCCTTTAATTTGTAATTTTCTTCTATCTTTATGTTGTGGTGGTATGCTAGCTTTCACCAACTCTGTGTGCGATTGAATTTCAAATTAAGACTGCTGAAGGGAGAGGAAACTTTTTTTGAAACTTTATTCATTACGAATTTCACATTGTAGCTGGGACTACACAAAGTATCTGATGATCTTGCCATTAATTTTATTTGAATGCTTATATATCAGGTTGACACATTCTATGCTGTTGGATCACCTCTTGGAGTCTTTCTTTCTCTTCATAATGTTCGGATTGGAATTGGTAATACTTGAAATGGCATGTCTCATTTGAACATTTCCTATGAATTTCTTTTAATACTTGAAACAGCATGTTGCATTTTCAAAATCTAGTTTTAATAGTTGCTTTTCATCAATATTCCAGGGAAAGGGAAAGAATATTGGGCAGAGGAAAATATCAGTGAAGAAATGCCAGCATGTCGTCAAATGCTCAACATTTTTCACCCATTTGATCCTGTAGCATATAGGTTTGCCTTTTCTGATCGATTTTCATGTGTTAAAACATTTATAATTTCCTTTTCTGCTTGTGAATAGTGGTCATCTTATTGCCATGAAAGAGATGGAGAATGGTCTTGGGATGAACTTTTGATCTGTTTATATCTCTTCCAAACTGTGAGAAGTGTCAAACACCCCTCCCTCTGCTCTTCACTTATCACTCACAAAATCCAACTTCCCTGTGTGTTACATTTCCTAGACCTTTTTGTGTGTTTGGGCCTGGTCTCATACTCCTTTTTTTCTGTTTGTTTTCCTATTTAGTCATGGTGGTCTTTCCGTAATTTGGTACAATTTGTGAAAGCTATTTCAATATTTTTATACAGAATAGAACCTCTTGTCTGTAAAGAATTTATCAACACGCGCCCAGTTATTATTCCTTACCACAAAGGTGGAAGAAGGTTGCATATTGGGTTTCAGGTGAGGCTCTTCAAGAAAAATAGATTGCGCATGTAAGGGAATTCCACTATCCTAGGTTTTTATCTCCCTATATTCTTCCTGATTTGTTCACGCTCTGTTATGCAGGAGTTCACTGAAGATTTGGCTGCTCGTTCTCAAACAATAATAAATCATCTGAATGTTGTGAAGGTAATAAGCTCCATAAGATTTCCCAAGGTTATTCTTTCATTTGTTTGCATTAAGTAAGCTAATCTTCTGCAAAGAGGCACATGCTTCTTTCAATAATGTTATTTACTTAAGTGGGAAAAAGGTTAAAGATGGATAGTTAGATGCTTGCTGTCGTTGAGTATTCTTAAATCTTCAAATCTCTTGGTTTACAAGTCTTCTCTTTACCTTTGAATCTGTGTATTCTAAATTTCCCACTCTAAACTTCATCCTGAGCTTAAATATCCCATTTTGAAGGAGTTTTGATTGAGAAGAGGTAAGATGGAAGGTATAAATATCCTGAACTGATTTATTTTGAGCCTTCCTAGGCACTCCTCTCCCAAGGCCTTGCAGTGAACCTACTACATGCCCTTCGGTGATATGTTAAAATGATCGGGTCTACTGACACAACAAGACCTACACAAGTGACAGCACTCATGCATCAGAACAGATGTGCACATCTATACTTAGAGGGAAGATCAGGGGATGCATAAATAGCATGTGCATGCTCAATATTTAGCTAGCTATTCAGGACTACTTGAGAATTGAATTGGTTCTTTATCTGTTAATCCATGTTGGAATTGCTGTTCAGCTTGGGTTTGTGCTGGCTGAGTTGGTCCATGTTTTACAAGAAACATAGTTACCAATGCCTTATATATACACTTCACGCCTGGTTTCTCTTCATATTTGAGGAAATTTTATAGGTATTGTACTAAAAATTTTGGTATTTAAACAGGTCAAGGTGCTTACAGTTTGCCAATCAAAAATTGCCGATAGTGAAGAAGGTAGAGAAATTTTATTTGTTTTCATTGTGTTCCTTTTCTTTCAGTTTCATCATACCATCAGCTTCCATTCCCCCCCCCCCCCCCTAGAAAACATGAAAGAAACGATCTCCTTTCCTCCTATAAAAGCTATTTATAATCTCATCGACATTTTTTTCAATCATTAATCTTTTGTTATTTGTGTTTAAGAAGCAGAAAATGTCGATGAAAAAGAAGAGAGGACATATGGCTCAATAATGATGGAGAGGTTAACTGGAAGCGAAGGAAGAATAGACCACGTGCTTCAAGTGCGTAGCAGTATATTTTCATGGTTTTGTTTAAAGCTGTAGTATTATTTCACTCTGTTGAGCTTGCTTAGCGCTTATGGGATATTTCTTTGAGCACAACTTTGTTGTGCAGTTGGCACATGTGAGTGCATGCATGTGGATGCAATTTAGTATGTGGGTCAGCATCAATAATGCAGATGCTTTCTGAAAAATACAGGGACACCATTTTTTCTGCTTTTACTACTCCGTGATGAATAAAAGAAAACAAAACAAAATTCTGCATGGGAATGTGGTTATCTATTTTTAACATCCACCGGTGTATAGATTCCCTTAATAGTCATCATTTGGCTTCCAGTTTTGCATAAATGTTTATATCATTGGTATTGGTGAGAACCTAGTTGTTTTTTTTTTTTCCTGTTAATTTTCTATATCAGTTACATTTGTTTGTTATTCTGAAATTCACCAATTTAATAGGTCTAGAAATGCTTTCTTTTTAGCTTTTTTAAACAACAAATTTATTTACATCTCATTCTGACATTTGCCAATATGATAGGTTCAGAGAAGCATTCACTATTGTCTATTTGCTATCATGATAACTTGACTATTTTTATACTACAGATGGAATCTGCATAGCTTAATCCCCAGATAATGTAAATTACTATAACCAATATAAGTGATGTTTGCATTTTGGGAGGGATTTAACGTTTTTGTTTATGGTTCCACGCATCTTTCATACCACCACTAATATTAGTTGGTAGAACTGCTGTATTGCATTGGTACTAATGATAGAATGTGAGGTGGTGTCATCTTGGCACTTCAGCCATGGAAATTGATCGTGGGCAGCTCCTTTCCAGATCATATTTGTAATTCAATGGTGCCTAGGGATCTGGGGAACTAGGTTTGTGCTTGTGTCAGTTTGTGACACGGCCAGTTCAGAAATTGTGATAAAACAGATGCCCAAAAATTTTGCCATTACCTGGTAATTTTTTTGGGGTAGGGATACAATTTAATCCGAACAAAGAAAAGTTATCCAAAATTTTTGCCATTACCTGGTAATTTTTTTGGGGTAGGGATACAATTTAATCCGAACAAAGAAAAGTTATCCAAAATTTTTGCCATTACCTGGTAATTTTTTTGGGGTAGGGATACAATTTAATCCGAACAAAGAAAAGTTATGTCCTGGTTGCTTTACTTTTTACCAGATTTTTAGTTTTCCTATATATCATAATTGTCAGCTGATATCTGATTCCACTCCCTAACCTGTGTTTGTGTTAACCATGCAGGATAAAACATTTGAACATCCATATCTGCAAGCCATTGGAGCACACACGTAAGTTCTTTGAACTCTGAGATCAAGAAATTTATTAAATCAAGATTTGGGATCCCTTTGGTTTCCATGTAGGAGAGTATGACAAATTTTCTTACAAAATTGGTCGTGCTTGTTGAGCTTAATGGGGATATATTTGAATATTAAACCTACCTTTGTTACAAGCTTAGGACTGTTTAACTGGTTATGTTCACAAGAAGACCCTGAGTTAGTAATTAAAATGTGTAACATGTTGTGCATGTATCATTGAAATGTGTTGCAGCCATATCCCCGTAGAGAATATAATGCCTTTGGATGGGATGCATTACTTGCATATAGGTTGTTTTATCTCTCCAAGGAGGTTTCTTGAAGGAAGTTGCATGTCTTTTGCTTGTAGTTCCCATTTCAATTCATGTCTCTCTCTTTGTTTTCTTTTTTATAGTTTGTAAGTGCTGCTAGTCTGCTCTCCATTTTGTTGCTGGAGGAAAATGCAAGTTCTTTTTTTTAATTGATGAATCGCGATGAACAGGAACTATTGGAGGGATCATGACACAGCTCTCTTCATTTTAAAACACTTGTATAGGGAGATACCTGAAGAACCCAACTTACCTGCAGAATCTAGTCGAGGCACCTCAAAAGATGAGATTGGTTCCACAGGATGGTATGATCAAAGTGAAACTAACGAGGAACTCCCTTTGACATTCTCTGACAGAATGGTGGCTAAAAACTTCTCAAAGAAAGCCAAGAAATATATGAAAAGCCCCAAGTGCTGACTGAAGTTCTTGCTGCATGCCAGATTTGGATGCAGCTGCAGCTGTATTTAACAGGGTTTGGCCTTATTGTTTATCTTCAATGATCTTGCGCTAAATGCATCATCAGACCGGGCGGGTCACCAATTCTAGTGCAGCCTTAAATATTTTAGAACGAAGTTGATATGGAATTTGAGGGGGTTGCATGTAGATATTAGTTATAGGGTAGTTACTCGACCATAGTTTCACAGCAGATGGCTTGTTTTATGTTCTGTGCATAAAAAGAAATGCAGGTCTGTGAAAATGTATGTTGCAAAAACTGTAAAAATTTATAGTACGACTGCCGGAACTAGAACTCTGTACCACTGGTTATAACCACTGTAACATGTTTATACGAATGGAAGGCTCACTGTCAACTTTCTTACTGACAGAAAGAGTAGTGTCAATCAAGCCGTCTTTGTTTCATATCAGGGTTCGTTTTATATCATGTGCATGCTTTCTGTCTGCTTACCTCAAAAGGTAATTTCAAATCTCTGGTATAACAATTCCTGTGGGTTTTGAATACTTGTATCAATTTTAGTCTCATCAAAGTAACCACTATCCTGGCTACATTTGCAGCCTAGCTTCACCTTATGGTGCAAAATCATCGAGCATTGGAAGAGATTTTTGCCAGAACTGAATTTTGAGGGCAAGGTTTATTTCTGCACAAGGAACGGTAGAAATTCCTTTGGATGGTTAATTTTACTGGAAACTAGAGCATTCTTGCTGGAGGATTAATTGAAGGACTGGACCTTTAAAGACTAGATCAATAGTACTATAATTGCAGGTTTCCATCTTCTATACGTCAAGAATGTTATTGAATCCACTCAGCAAAATTCAGTCCTTGATCAAATGTTCTGATTTTTAAGTCCATTGCTGATTGTTGAAACATTACGTCTGAGTAAGTTCCTTACGAACCCCTCTAGTACTCCGCCAGCCAACACTAGAGACATTAGACAACCAAAATTAACCAGAAAACTAATCAAGTGCTAAACCATAACATAAAATTTTCTGCTGTTTGTCTTCGAGGGACTTGACGAATCTGTAGATATTTGATGAAGTAAAGAATATTAACATAGCGTGACTAGAACCTTAAATCCTCCAAATGATTGGGAAAAAAATAATAGAAAAGAAGTACACAAGGCTGTTACATCTGCACGAAACTGAATATTCCTTATGCCTCTTGGTTGAAATCTGCTCATCTAACTAGTGTTTCTGCAGAAAGTTTCTTTTGTTTTACATTTAACAGAAGCTTTTTTTATATTTTTCAAGAAATGGGATCTCTATGCTGCTTGGAACTAGCCGAGCCAGGTCGTTTCTGCAGAAAAAGAAAAACAGAGTAAACAGACAGGAAAAAAGGCGCCCTTGAATCTTTGGACCTATTAGCTTGCAAGTTTTAGAAGTTCTTATTTAACATTCAATTCAAATCAAAGTAAAGGAAAGGAAAGGAAAGGATACTTGTTCTTTGACAAATGACTTCTGTATTTCCTACTTCCTTTGTCCAGGGAATGTCCAGCCAAAGACATTTTTGTGTGGTTTAAAACTCGAGCACAAAAGACTAGTTACCAAATATCTGGATGAATATAACTAACATTCTACTGTGTATTTTCTAACGAATTCCTATTCCGAATTGGGTGTAAGAGAGACCAAAAGAGGAGAAACTATGGCCGCACTTCCTGTAGATTACACTGTAAGCAAAATAATGCCCCTCCTTTAGAATGAAGTTTCCTTGTTGCGAGGAATTTGGTACGAGCTTCACGAAATCAAGCAAGAATTGGCGTGCATGAAATCTTTTATAGTCAATGCTGATAATAAAAGGGTGGGATGAAAAGTGAGAAAACTTGGGTGGAAAATGTGAGTGACATATCCTATAACGCGGAAGACATTTTTGACAATGAGATCATTTACTTGGAATACAAATAAAATAAAAAATCATTGGGAGACCGAACTATCATCCTCTCTTTTCTCTCTCTCTATCTCTCTTTCTTATCTTTTAGGGAAGCTCAATCGAGCTCTGTAAAGCTTAATTAGATCAAGAATCATTTGAATTTGAACTCCGGTCTGATTAAATTATTTTTATCTCATTTTAATTTATTATTTATGAATAATATCTTTTATTTATATTTATCCAAACACTTTTTTTAGATATTTTTTAGATTATTTTTCAAGTTATATATTTTTAGGTTTTAAGAAAGAAAATAACAATTCATTTGAAAACCATTACATAATACTTAACATTTCTCTATTGTACAAAGAACACATATCTTTTCTCTACACATAAAAAACTCCAGTTTTTTTACTTGTTATTTGAGAAAAAACTTAAATACTAATTTAAGTATCGGAGTGTCCCTTATTATATGAGGGAATTATTTTATATATATAACTTAAATCTAAAACTTATTAGCCAAGAAAAATAAATATTTTTTATGAAGTTTTTTCATGATTTCAATATATGAAGATTTGAATAAAAAGCTTGTTCATTCTTTTTCAATTTCTAAAAATGCTTTTTCTATAGATAACAAGACTCCAGTACATGAGAGATTGATTAATCTCTTTACCATAAAAACTTCATCTTCTCCAAGTATCCAACAATTCTCTTAAAAGTACAAGTGCTCAAAGATAATGTTTTAACACACAAAAGAAACTTTACTCTTTTTAATATAACCAATAACAAAATCAACCTATACTGTTAAGTGTATAAAAACAACTTTTATTTTAGGAAGATGTACAAAACAACATATCAAGTAGGCACCATACACCAACTCTCCAATAGTTTATAACATATCCAAGTTATTAACATGACTATCTTCATTAATCTTTTTCTAAGTTTAGTATTCTCATTCTCATGCTCTTTATCATAAAAAACTTACGCATGATGTGTATGAGATAACCACCCTAGACTCTTGCACGTTATTCCCACTAAGTAAAAGAGTCCATTTTGTTATATAATAGTGTTATATACTCATCTCACCAAGGAATGCGATGTTGTTGAAGCTAATTTAGACAATTATGATGACTTTATAGATTCTAGAAAATATATTCAAAATATTAGAAATATTATAAAGTTAGTGCAAACAAAGAGTGATGAGTGATGCTATGTGCAAGATTTTCTCTATAACTTTTCATATATCTATTAAGTGTGGTATTATAACCTTAAGCATGGCTTCATCTTATGTTTTCAAAATCTTTTCATGAAGCTCATTTTTTATTTCAGTACCAAAACATCATAAAGCTTTTTTTCATGTGTACAACTAGATGATGAAAACATGATGACATATCTCTAGAGATTTAATGAGGAAATGCTAAGCATGGAGGATCTGCTTGAACTCATCACCACTAAAGCCCTAATCAATGAAGTGTACAACTATTCTTTATGAGAAACGTTATACACACTCCCTGACAAAAGTCTTTTTAGTGTTAAAGACATGATGAAAAATTACATTAGAGAGAAGAAACTAGTATGACCAGAGAAGGTCACTTACGCTTCCACACACAAGAAGATTCTCTACCATACCATTAACCTTTAAAAAGAGCATCCAAAAAAAGCATCAAGCACAAGCATGATAATTTGATATTCTTTGAGCTCGTTTCCACATCTCTCACAACAACACATGTTGATGTTTTAGCTACCATGAAAAGAAAAGATTTTCTACAATACCCATTTACAATGAAAAATAGTTCAAACAAAGAGAACCCTAACAAGTTCAATCACTTTCACCATAATCATGAGCATGATATAGAAAAGTCGTGCACTTTCATAAGAGATAGAAATATTAATCTCTAAAAAGTACCTTAAAAAATTAATGAAATAAAAGATACAATATTAGCAAATATGAGACAATCCATGCAATATACTACTTCAAATAAAACAATTCTCAAAAATCATCTTTTGAATTTATATATATATATATATATTTTGCATCTTCATGTCTTTAAATATAGAAGGTCTTTATGAAACCTTCATAAAGAAGTTTTTATTATGTCGTCAGATCTTCATGACCACTTGTCTTTACATCCTTGTTACTATTTATCTTTAAGTTTCAGTGACCACTATCTCAAGTTTTTATAATTACTATATCCAAATATTGATAAAAATCTCTAATGAATTAAAAAAATAAGCAAATATTCAAAAATAAGCACATACATGTAACATTTTTATGCAAACATACATTGAAAGTGTTTT